GCGAATCCACTGCCAACTTCAAAACAAAAAATGTCCCCTAAACCTCAGGAAATTAGTAAAAAGCTACCTGGAGAATAGGTCAGTGTTGGTGAGATACGCGGGACATGAAGTCCAAAGAGACACCAATAAGGGATGTGTACAGGGGTCCATTGGAGGACCCCTATTTTGGAACATAATCTTGGACTCACTCCTGGACGAGCTCACCAGCGCTGACATATACTGCCAGGCCTTTGCTGACGATGTGGTGCTCATTATATCGTCAAAAAACCCTCAGGAAATAGAATTAAAAGCTAATAAAGTATTAAACATAGTAAACGAATGGGGGAAAGCAAATAAATTAAATTTCGCCGCCCATAAAACTAAAGCCATGGTTATAACAAAAAAAACTAAAATATAATACACCCCTATTAAAAATGGGGGACGAAAAGATTGAAATAGAGAACGAAATAAAAATCCTGGGGGTCATCGTCGACGATAAATTGACGTTCAACAAACATATAAAATATATAAACAATAAGGCAATAAATATATATAAAGGAGTAATGAAATCAGCTAAAGTAACATGGGGCTTAAAACCCGAAATTATTAGAACATTATATGTGGCAGTGGTAGAGCCGATTATTTTATACGCAGCGAGTGTATGGAGTAGGGAGGCAGCTAAGATATGCAGTAGGAAAGTCTTCAACACAGTACAGAGGGGGTTCGCGCAAAAAATTGCCAAGACCTATAAGACCGTCTCGCTCAATTCTGCGCTGATATTGTCTGGACTGCTTCCGCTGGACCTTCGGGTCCAAGAAGCAGCCCGGCTTTATGAGGCAAAGCGCGGGAAACCCCAGGCAATATTAAGTGGCAGAAAAGTGGAAGAACGGGTATCTCTAATGGAATCGAACCACCCCGGCAGCATGAATGTTATTGAATTTGAATGCTTAGAGAACGCGGAAGAGGATGGCAGACTGGCAGATGGCTTGGTTAAGATCTACACGGACGGCAGTAAACTTGAAGGGAAAGTCGGTGCGGCCCTAACCTGCTGGAAAGGGGCCGTTGAGATCGCTTCCCGCAAGTTCAAATTAGAGCCGTACTGTACGGTCTTCCAGGCCGAGCTGTATGCCATCCTGCAAGCGACGGAATAGATAATGAAGAATGAAAGAGATGTAGCGGCGGTGCTCAGCGACTCGAGATCCGCTCTTCAATCGCTGCAGGATCCGGACTCTACGCACCCGATCACGAAGGCGATACAAGGCAACCTGATGCAACTTAGGGAACATGGTCGAAAGGTCACCCTATTTTGGATCAGGGCCCACGTCGGCGTGATCGGGAACGAGAGGGCGGACGAGCTGGCGAAGGGAGCGGCGCTCGGGTTGAAGTGCAAGTCGCACTATGACCGCTGTCCCATCTCCTTTGTCAAGAGGCATTTACGCAACTTGACAAAGGTAGAATGGGATAGCCAATATAGGAGCGAAAACACCGCCGCTGCGACGAAGGCCTTCTTCCCCAGTGGAGAGAGGGCCTTCGCCGTAATCAGAAAGATAGAGATGGATAAATGGGCTGCACAACTGTTAACGGGGCATGGAGGTTTTAGGTCTTACCTCCATGATTTTAAATGTAGAGATACCCCTTCATGTATTTGCGACCCCCAAGAAAAGCAAGACATTTTTCACGTACTGTTGGAATGCCCTATAATTGTAAAAGAAAGATACACTCTACAAATGAACATCAACACAAACCTCAGCAAAGATAACCTAGTGGAAATAATAAATGGAGAAGATAGGAAAGAATTTATAACACATGCATGTAAAATTGTAAAAAAGACTGTAGAAATGAATAAAGATTGAAAGTACAAGGACTGAAATGTATAATTGAAATGTAACGAAATAGAGATTATAAACAGAACAAAACAACACAATGTATACATAGTATAAGAATGTAAGTAGCAGCAAATTGTAAAGAGTAAATATAAAAGAAAATTGTAAACAGATAGGTAAAATAGAGAAATGTAAAATATAGAAGTATATAACAAGAAACTAAATAATACTATATTGTAACGTAAAATAATAGATATAAGAAAAGAACTGTAAAGATAATAATAGATAATTGTAAACTAGATAAACTAGATACATAGTAAATAAGAAAAATTGTAAATTAAAGTCCTTGAAAAAGGCAATGGGAATAAAAAATAATAAATCCCCAAGGGTTAAAAAACAATAACCCTTATAAAAAGAATAAAAAGCACAAAAGAACAAAAGCAGAAAAGATGGCCTGCTACTTAGTGGGGAAAACCGATAAAAAAAAAAAAAAAAACCTTTCGTATCGTTTTTCATTCCTTAGATGCATATCACTAATTTTGCTCATATCGATAAACTTTTTAGTATTTTCTAATTATAGTCTTTACTTTTTCCATTCTATAACTGTGAACCTTCAATTTTATACCTGTAACCATTAAAATTCTCTAATATAAACTTATCCAAACCTTTACGAACTTTCATCCTATGTTTTTGCCTACTTATATTAATGTAAACCCTTACCTGTAGCTTTCATAGTTTTCCATTATACATTTTACGAATTCTAATCATATTAAAGCACTTATTTAAGTGCTTTAATATGATTAGAATTCGTAAAATGTTCGTAAAGGTTCGTAAAGAAAAACTTTTAAATATTACACAATTTATCGCTAATTTTAATTGTTTTGACAGATTTGACATTAAAAGTTTTTCTTCGTTGCTATGGTTATATTTGATACTCTTCATGAAAATTGACTCATTGTTTGTCAGTTTTAGGCATTGAAACTCCGTAGTTTTTGAATTTTTAAGGTTCTAATTTGAAATCATTTACTTCCAAATTTGAGTTCGTCTTCAGGTATATAAAGCCTCGCCCAAATAGTTCTGCATCACTTCAACGGCAACAGTTTCCCGAGTTAGCTTTTCGAGCTCGTAGAGAGTTAGCAAAATTCTTAAAAGGCCTATTTATCGGGGCCGACTGCCCCGGGAACTTTTCAAAGTTATGGTCTCAAAGTCACTTGACACCATTTTGGCTGAAATTAAACATCAATAAATAAATACTTACAGTTTTCTACTAAACCTCCTTCACCACCTTCAAGCTTGGACGGAAATATTTTCTCCTGAAGCTGTCTACGAGTCTTCATCTGGAGGCCTGAGCTGCTGATCCGTTCTGATCACGGGATGGGTGACCAAAAAAATATTAAAAAAAGGCCTGAGACCCACTGCATGGGGATGTAAAAGAGTTGACGATGATAAACAATATATTAGAGACTAAAATTTAATAAAGCAATTAATTTCATAGCAATTTTGGCAAACACAGTACTTCAAATTGATATACCTAACTTTTTTATTTATGAACCGATTGAAATTAAACTTACACTCAATGTTAACTGAAGCTTCCCACAATAGAATATAATAGTGGTTCAGCTGTTTCTGAGATTAGCGTGCACCAACTCACAGATAAACAGACAAACCGACAAACACACAAAAAAGTAAAAATCGTTGTTTTGTGTTCTGTTCCATTTATAAATACCTCTCATTAAAGTTTTTTTCATATATCTTCAATGTACAGACATCGATCAGTTACGTTTTTATTATAGTATAGGTATAGATATAGATAAGCGAGTTCTATATTGATTTTGAATATAAGCATATAGGGTTCTATTTGTTTTATAACTCTTATTGCTCAATTCCAAAACCATGCAATTGTCCTAATTTTGTGTCTATAATTTTATATTATAATTACGTTATCTTGTATTCAAATATTTATTAAAGTATACATTTGTAATATAGACTTTAAAATGTCGTAATTTGTAGAGTTCGACACCCAATTGAGAGAACAATAAATATGGTTTCCTATCGTTTACACCTAATGAGAATATAACAATATCATTTGTACTTAGTGAGTATTCTAAATCATCACAGCTGCTTAGTATTTGAGTACAGCTTGTTTCACCATAATTATGTAATTATGTACGGGTCGTCATTTAAGTGTTTTCGGGATTTAAACATTCTTTCTGACAATAATTTAATATGTTCATCACCTAAAATATAAAGTTACGTTTTTTTGTTAAGATTGTCAAAATATTTTTATCTACAATACTTGCAAAACCATGCACCCCATCTATTGGTGATTTTAAGAATTTTTTTATACCAATGTTAGTTTTGTTTACAAGGTATGAGCTGGTTTCATCTTCAGAATCATGATTTAATTGATGATTTGATTTTTGATAGCGGAGTGTTATATAAAACGCTTCCTCGAAATATGTTCGGTGAATTAAAAAACTGAATTAAACAAACGTGCACCAGACATTCTTTGTATATGGATAATGTTCTTAATCTTAAAAGTGGAGTCACGGTGATAGGTGTTTTTTTTCTTTGTCCAATATAATATAAGCTAAAGCCTTCGAAAAATTGCAATTAGCATTCAAATGTATCGTTTGACATTACTATATAGCTTTCTAAGTAGTAGCGTATAACGCTTGCTTTAGATTACTTGCTAATTCCAATTAATATCAAATTAATATAGTTCGTTCAATTTATTTGAAAAAATACACAATCGATGTCACATACCAAATGGTTGTAGTATAAAATCTGTGAATGTCTATCAAATTTTAAGGGATTGCGAAAAATTTTAATAATTAGACAATTAGGCCCTTTTTATATTTACAGGTTACATATTTTCACTTCAGACAAATACCACGAAAGAGTTTCACACAGGTGTGATGCACTAAGAATATCGTTAGAATATGGTATTTTATGAATATATTTGCCAATCTAAATATATATAACTCAACGGTGATTGTCTGACATAGTGATCTATCAACGCACAGCTCAAACCACTGGACGGATCGGGCTAAAATTGGCATACAGGTAGATGTTATGACGTAGGCATCCGTTGAGAAAGGATTTTGATAAATTCTACCCCCAAAGTTTGTATGAAACTGTCAATTTTAAACCGATCAGGCTGAGACTTTGCATGCATAAAGCTAATATGACGTAGGCTCCCCTAAGAAAGTATTTTCATTAATTCCACCCCTAATGGGATGAAATAGGGGATAAAACTTTATTTCAGGTATTTTACACGATACATTTATTGAATAAATATTCGTTAGAAATGCTGAGAATAACTTTACCACGCGAACGAAGCCGCTGGCATAAGCTAGTTTAAAATAAAACTGCAATGCAAATACAATTTAAGTATTAGCCACTTTTGTGACGAAACTAAATATAACGTATTATGGTATCATATTATGATGTGGCATCGTCACGGCGACAGTCTAATGGATGTCAATAGATCAAGTGATGATCATTTACATTTCAATATTCTGTATATTAATTTGAAATGTCCAGGAAAACTATGATAACACGTGATTCATATTCAAATGTAAACAACCTGTTTTATCTTTTTTATTTATCTAATTAGGTATACATTACTTTCTAACAATAAATTGGTGGTCCGACTTCTCCGCTTATTGAAATTAGTTTGTGTTTATTGTATGATAAATGAAATATATGTATGTATTTAATGTCCACATCAAACTGTCAACAGACCAATAAGTCTGCCCAATGCCAGATTATAAAATTCATCATCATCATCATCAGCTCTTTTACGTCCCCACTGCAGGGGCTCAGGCCTTCCTTATGGATGGTTAAGGAGGATGGGCCATGACCCTCCTCGCTGGCCCAATGCGGATTGGAGAGTATTAACGACTGCAAATGCAGCCGAGACCAACGACTTAGCACGTCTTCCGAAGCACGGAGTAGCTCGAGATAATAATGTTTTGGTCACCCATCCCGTGACCGACCCTTGCGGAAATTGCTTAACGACTACGATCGCGGTCCGCCTAGCTTATCCACTACGCCACCGAGCTACAATCTGATCATAAATTTTAATAATAAATAAATATCATTAGTTAAAAATCTTAAAGAATTCTCCAACCCTACTACCACTAGGTGGTAATCGAATACTCTCGACGCTGGTTAATTTTTTATAAAGCATTTTATATTCAAAAAATTATCGGTATATATTGTGAAAGCAAAATGGGTCACCTATGCTAAAAAAAAATTGATAATGTTTTTAACATAGCTCAGGTTTCGATTCAAGACGAGTACCTAATGTCCCCATATTTTGGAGTATCTGAGACAACGAAGGTACCACAACACAAAGATAAGAATAGATAAAGCCGGCATTTAAACAACTCGGAAACAGTTCGCGTATCCTTTAGTGGTCATCTGATATGGTATTTACTGTATAATTACTGCTTGATCTAGAATAATAATACATCAATCAGTAATTTTGAAATCTAAAATAATAATAATCTTTCTTTGTTTTTTCGTGTTACATTTTGGTGTCTAGTATAATAAATAAATATTACAAAGAGGAAAGATGCATTGTAATGAATAGGCTCCGAAACGAATGGACTTATTTAAAAAATCTATCACTTACTACATAAGCTATATTTTAATCGGAAAAACAACAAATAAAGGGATGAAAATGTGAGTGGAAGTTTGTATAGGGAATTAAAACGTTTCCTTACCCTTGTTTACTATTTAATTTGTCATTGCAATTACATCCGTGTCATGATATAAATTGATATCCAAATAAACCCTAGGTATCACGTGGGCGAAGTCGCTGGCGGAAAGCTAGTTTAATGAAAACTAATACAATACTGTATATTTTCCTGGTAAATTTAATAATTACAGGTGCTGATCTATAATACTAATAATCTTTATTTACTTTTTTCTTGTTTTGTGTTAACAAATACATAACATGAAAAGTTATTCGTTGGTACTACATACAGGATACATTAACATTCATCAAGTTTTAACCTTCAATATTTTTTTATTGACATCACATTTTCTTAAGCTAGATTCATCTTCCTGAAATTGTATTCTGTTTTGTATTATTTTGTATGTACACATATAAATATATTTAATTATATTAGTATAATTTACTTCTATGAATTTTCTCATTCATCTTTCTTTATACACTAGCCTCTTACTCAATCGGTATAGCTTCTTTTAGTTAAAGGTAGCCTGGTAGCCTTTTGCATCAATGTTTCTAATAATATTTGCTATCATGTTTATGTTTTACTAGATTTGAATACTTAGGATTATATATATTTTTAGATTACTTACATCAAACCTGATAAAACATTCTCCTAATAGATGGTCATGAACTCGCACAATCCGTACTACACATTTCACAGACACATTATTTGTTATGTTAAATGAAATAAGATAATCCGTGGCGCTATAATTGATGTGTTGAGTTTATGGTAAAATATAAAAAAAAAACTATTTCGAACTACAAAACCATGAGCTTGCGTTATTTTACATTCACAGAATAAAAAATGTTGTTAACTTGAATCGTCTCGGAAGTTAAAAATAAAAACGATTTAGTTAATTAGCGATATATATTTTCCATACTCTCTTGACCTAGCTATATTCAATGTCATTTTGGGAGTGGCTCCTACACACCCTCGGTGGCAAGGAATTCACGTACATTGTTTATCAGTTTCATTCTAGCCACGCTGTTGAAACGTTATGTAGTTATCATTTTTATTTGCTACTTTTGTTTACATTAAGTCACAAAAAAACATTAATAAAAAAATAATCACTTTTGGAATTAACTGTAACTAAAACTAAAAAATAATTAAATAAGTGATTTTAACTATTCAATTAAAAAGTTCCTAGTGTGAGTTCACAAGAATCAAAGAATCAACTGTGATTAGTATAATAAAATCGATTCAATAATATATACATGGAACGTATTGTTGGTACGTAGTATTTCTTTCAGTAACGCATCACACGAGCGGTAGTTCGCGCGCGCATACACTTTACATGTAAAAATAAGTTTAAAAAAAAAGCGTTTTAAAATGCGCGCAATTTTGTCCGCGAAAATATTTTTCTGTTGCTCAATTGTAACTATATTTTTCTTACTATATATGTCAATTAAAGAATTCACCAATCGACCGTATTCGAATGAACAAGTTAAACAATTATTAGAAAGAAAATTAGAAACATCCACATTTTGGAGTGACTCAACGAGTGATGTGAAAATTGCTAAAAGTGATTTCAATAATACAAATAGTGCTAAAAAACAAATGAAATATATTTTGCAATGGACTTCAGCGAGAAATGTCCCGTTTATCTATATGGGAGTCGGTCAAGAGGGTTTCAACAGTCGAAATTGTCCCCACACTAATTGTATAGTCACTGCGGACAGAAATTTACTTGGTGACGTTAAAAAATTCGACGTGATCGCCTTCTCTGGACCTGAAGTCATACGTATGTTTCACAGAAGCCTGCCACAAGATAGATCAGAGAAGCAGAAATACGTATTTGCTTCTATAGAGTCGTCTCACTATTACCCTATATGCTCAAACAGATTAGATAACTTTTTCAACTGGACTTGGACTTTTAGACTCGATTCTGAGGTACGATGGGGTTATATGTTAATCAAAGACTCAAACAACAATACAATAGGTCCAAAGAAAATCATGCACTGGATGAAGTTACAAGACATGGAACCGATTAGTGATGAGTTTAAGTCAAAATTGAGGACTAAGACAAAAGCAGCCGCCTGGTTTGTGTCCAACTGTTTCGATAAGTCAGGCAGAATGAATTACGCGATGGATTTAAAAAAACAACTCGGTAAATATGGGTTAGAGCTTGACATTTATGGAGATTGTGGCACCCTAACTTGTCCTAGAGATAAGCAAGATGATTGCGATAGAATGCTTGATAAAACGTACTACTTTTATTTATCCTTCGAAAATTCGTTTAGTGAGGATTATGTTACAGAAAAACTGTTGCATGCATTGCGAAATAACGTCGTTCCTGTTGTTTATGGAGGTGCTAATTACACGAGGTATGTACGTTTATAATAATTTACAATAGAACAAATGATTCCATTTCAAACTAATTATCTTAATATAAATTGCATTTATAAATAGAATACAAGTATGATTGTAGAAGTAGCCACTGGGTTAGATAGTGTTGTGTAGTAAATATTATTTACTAGCTGTTTGGTGTGGCTTCGCCCGTCTAGGTAAAGGCAACGAGATATTTTTCGCTATAAAAATAGTTTATATCTTTCTCTGACCTTTCAACTATCTCCACTCAAAATATTATATCACAACGAGTTTTTGTTACGATATGGAAAAGGACAATTACACTTTCTCATTCATTCAACATATCTATACCGATATTAAAAAGAGGATAAATTTGCTTGGTTGTTTGTTTTGAATAGGCACTGAAACAACTGAAACCATGGTTATATTTGATCAATTTTGCATTCATAATGCTATACTGAAAGATATTTTAAGGAATAATGCTTAAAAAATCAATTTTGTCAACTGTAACCCATGACCTTTCGGAATCCGGGCGACTGTTCTAACCACTGAGCTATTCAGAAGCTAACAGGCCTGACGAATTTTTCAAGAACTTGCTACTTTTTTGCTTCTACTGTGCATATTTTCAACAATATTCAGGCAATCCAACTAAACAGCCGAAATAAATATTTTTACAAATATTTAAACTTTCGATAAAGATGAAATTTTTTTATAATAATTATATTTGATCCATTTTGCATTCACAATGCTATACTGAAAAAGATTCTTAGATAATCCACTTTGTCCCAGGAACTCTGTGACTCCAACCTATGACCTTTGACTTTTTTTAACTATTGGAGCCATTTTAGAAATTCTTTACGCCTACGCTTTATTATACATGCGTGATATAAAAGGTCGAAGTTGTAGGATAAATAACTAGTGTAGGTATATAAAGAAGAAAAAATTGTTGGAATTGAAAATGCTCTGAAACTACTGGACCTTTATTTAAATGTTTCACTTACGAGAAGCAACATCATATACGGGTGATATCGACTTATAAATCCATGGCTTCAAAGGAAAATCCAGATTTCTGGTTTAAAAATGGGACCTCTGGGAGAATATTCTTAAAATAATAACATCTTTTTATGTATCTCTTTGAAATCAATGCAAAAACGCACCTTTTATACAAAAAGGAGAGAAGAAAACTGGCACGCAATTAAACATTTTTATGCCATGTATAAGAAGATTATGTCAAGCAAAATGATAAGGATGGCAATAAAAGACACAATTACCGTTGTATCTTTTATTACGGAGAAAATTTTATACCATCTATTTTTCCTTTAGATTAATATCTAGTTTATGATAGATTTATATTGTCTGTCTTAATTTTTAATATTGGTTATACCATTCAGTTGAGTTTTTATTTACGTTTTTAATAATAATTTATATTTAAAATTAATTATTTTATTTTATACTAAGATGTATGTCGAACAGGTCATCAGTGTGGTTTTGGTATCATCACTACCTATTTTAAAACAAAGTCCCCTGCCGCTTCTGTCTGTCTGTCTGTTCGCAATAAACTCGAAAAGAATTGGACGGATTTTCATGCGGTTTCCAACAATAGGTATAGGTTCTTGAGGAAGGTTTTGTGTATAGTAATTTTAGATTTTCTACAAACTGACGATTTTACAACAATATTAATTCAATATGTCGGAAAAAATAAAGACGATCTAAAGCTTTCCTCGTAAACGCTGCCAAAAACTTTTGAGTTATAACAAAACATCGTATGGTGGAATTGTACCTCTATTAGATCTACAAAAAAGTTCGCGGTGGTATAAGTCTATATTTCAAGGATAACTCACAATAACCATTTTTTCCGTATACTTAAAACAGTAAAATGATGGGTTATTTACGAACCAATTATTAACAATACAGTATTAATCCTTATCAAATAAATACGTTATGCATGTAATGTAGATCAAAATTGCCTTTTACAGTATACAATGAGTTATCGAAAAATAAAAAATGTCCGGCGAGATATTAAATATCTATAAAAAAATGAATCGAATAACTTCTGAATTCCAGTTCCGACTGCACTAAATTGGATGATTCTATTTTTTATGTGTTCCACTATGCATGACACGGTTTATATATAAGTTTTTTTTTAAACGGGTATAAGGCGGTACAATGTTCGCCGGGTCAGCTAGTTAGTCATAAGAGTAAGAACTTTTTAATTTTCTAAACTACAGTAGGGCCCACATATTGATAAATTGTCGAGTAGACTTAGCTCTGCAGCATATGCCGTAATGAAGATACGTAGGTTAACTGACATAGATACTGCCAGATTAGTATACTTCAGTTACTTTCATAGTGTGATGTCGTACGGAATCCTATTGTGAGGAAATGTTGCCGACATACAAACGATTTTTGTGCTTCAGAAAAGAGCAATTCGATCAATTTAAAATCTTAGGATTAGGGACTCTTTAAGGGAGAAATTTAAGGAAATAGACAAAATGACTGTTGCTTGTCAATACATATACGAGAACTTAATGTACGTTCGTAAAAATATTAGTTTGTTTTCTATAAAAAATGACGTACACAATTTGAATACGAGAAATAAAAATAAATTAACGGTGCCTGTCACTAGACTACAAAAAGTTAATAACTCATTCAAGGGTCTTTGTGTGCGCTTCTACAATAAGGTCCCAAGCAAAATACAACAATTAGATATCATGCAGTTTAAATCTACTATTTAAAAAATACTTATTAAAAAAGCTTATTATAAGGTCTTATTATAAGATATAACAGATAAGAATGCTTGGACTTGAGATGATCCAGCAACTGGATAGGGCATTACTTCTTAACTTATTATATATAAAAAATTATCTTGCTTCCATTATTATTAAATGATAATGTTATCATTATAAGACCATCGTTTTTTTTCTCTCTTTATTTATAATGTATTGATCTGGTAATGACATGGTTTTTGTAAATGTCATTACTTCTATTAGAGCTGGTGAGTTTCTTGCTCGTTCTTCTTACCAGCTAAAATATGTCCTGAACGAGCGGTAGAGGAAAAAATGTCGGACGATTCAAAAGTACTTTTAAGAAGTCTATTTGTATAAAGATTATTTTGGCTTTGACTTTGGCGCAGTTGTTAGTGCGGTCGGTTTGATTCCGCAAGGGCCGATTATCAAAGTTTTAGTAGGTATCTCGAGCTTGTTCATGCCATTGGTCTTGGCTGCATCCGTAGACGTTAACACCCACCGATCCAAGCTCGGCCCACGTGTCGTCATATTACAGCCCAGTCTCCATTAGTGATAAGTATTATACATTGTTCTTTTTTATATATAATTTTCATACATTCTCCAATTTCCGAACGGCTGCACCGAATGGAAATATATATTTTTTTTATGTGTTCCTTATTGTAAGGAGAAGTTTTGTATACAAGCAAATTAAAAAAAAACCTCAATCGTGACTGGAGAAATAAAATATGGCGGACGAAGTTTGCCGCTATGAATTATTTTCCTGTTTATCTTTAATGCTTGCTTTTTCACCCATTTTCTTTTTGTTCATGGTATTGTCCCTCCTCTACGTTTAAAGCAATGCCTGTCAATGTTAGTTCCATATTAATGAATAAAACCATAGCCACAATTACAATTACCTCTTCCTATATTTGCCCAATGAAATAACTGACATGTGTGAAGCACGGACACATATGTAAAGCACTAATGCGAATGCAATATGTGCGAATAACACTTTAATCTTCTGCATTAATGGCAACAATAAAGTTTGCATTCACAAAGTTGTATTAATAAATTTACTCACAGTTTCTAAAATGACGATTAGTCGGTCAACTGAGATATTCTAATTTTTTAAAGTATTTTTCTATATGATGAATAAAGTAGGTCATCATAATCATCAGCTCTTTTACGTTCCCACTGCAGCGGCTCCGGCCTTCCTTATGGATGGTTAAGAAGCATGAGCCATTACCCTCCACGCTGGCCCAATGACGATTGGAGGGTATTAACAATTGAAAATACAGTCGGGACCAACGGCTTAGTGTGCTTTTTAAAGCACGGAGTAGCTTGATATAGTAATTTTTTGGGCACCTATCCTGTGACCGACCCTTGCGAAAGTGGCTTAACAACAACGATCGCTCTCCACGGCGCTTATCCACTACGCAATCGAGCTACTCGAATAAAGTAGGTTTCCATAATGAAATAAATATAAATAGAATACCAAACAATATTTTAAATTATTACTCGAATACCAAATACATTTATTTTCAAATGTATATCTGAAAATAGGTATGAATATTAGAAGTTCATAATATACATATAGTGTTTATAAATAATATCTAAGCAAATAAACTAAACACAAATACATCTTGGCAAATATTGGCTAACACACAAGTGACTTTGCATTTGTCTCATTTGAAAGGTTAAAGAATACGTATCTAAAAATACTCGGGTTATTGTAAATGAAATTACCTATTTATGTTCATAATTTACATAGTCTCATGATTCATTTTTAGGATTCAACGTAACTAGTCTCAAGTGGGAATTTATTAGAATACGAGCTCAAAATAATTCAATAATTAAGTAGTAAGAGTAATATTTTATTTGATAGCTTAATAAATAAGGTCATATGAAGCAGGGTTTATAAGACAAACAAGAATTTTATTTCTTTACAATTACTTTTAATCCGTTCAGAGATGTGCAGATTTCCCACAATCCATCTCACTCTACTGATTTCGTATTTAACTAATTATTGTCAGAGCTACATATATTGTGAAACTCTCTGTCTGTAGATATCAAGTGACTCTTTTGTAAAACAAATAAAGGAATATTTCCTTAAGTTACTCTTCTTCGACCTAATATGTAATCTTGTATTTCACTAAATATTTTTGTTTTTATTGTGGTTATCATTAAATAAGTATATTTATTTTTTATTTTTATTTATAATACACTAGACTGCAGTTAGTTTTCTTAATTGGTGTAGTTTCTTGTTGGCAAGGTTGCCTGTAGAGATTTTTACCTTATGTATAAGGCTGACATGTATATAGGTAAAATTGAATCAGATCGATAATTTCGAAAATCCCTTCCTCTTCCAAAGGATGGTTAAAACGAATATTATCACCAGTCTATTAATGTCCCCCTGCTGGGGCTTATACCTTCCCTGTGGATGTAATCGAATGAAATTAAATAAGTAGAATGGATCATCAGCCACCATGCGGTTGCGGATTGGTGGGTGTTTAACGATTGCAGATACAGCCGGGACCAACAGCTCAACGTACGTTCCGACGCATGGAGGAGATCGACATTATTTTCCGCGCGGTGTATGGCCTCCGGGCCGATCCCGCGCATCGCCCACCATGAGAGGGACATCGCTGAGTTTTAGTGGGTAAACTTCTGTTTCTTGTCCATCACCCGTGGAGCCCGCGGGTGAAGCGGGTATGCGTAACGCATTTCTCAGCGTAAAAAAAAAAAGATCGACATTATAACTTATTGGTCGTCCATCCTATAACCGGCCCTTGCGAAAGCTACTTAACGAGCCATTGAGCTCCTCGAAAAATTAACATTATACAAATTGTTTGAAGTAATACGGAACCTGAACAATAATTGAACATGATCTTAACCTATTTTAACACGTACTGTGATAATAGACAACGACTTTGGTAAAACTAAAAATAACTTTATTTTGTTTGATTTAGGTAATTAACTCCTTCACATATTTGCTGTGATTATAGCATTAATGTGAGTAACTGAAATAGAATATTTATTTACAAAGTTTTTTTATATCCAATGATTTGATTTGCGAATTATAATCAGTATTCCATGCCAAATATTATTAATACTTACTCACTTCTACACTTTTAGTAAATCTCTTTTTTTGGTTATATGGTTTCTTTTTTTAAGGCTATATATTTTTGAAAAAATAAATTTTGATAAAACCTATTAGAGGTATATGGCTCTTAAACATATTTGTGCGAAATCATCTGTGTGAGAGTCCGAATCTGCCAAAAATCTTGGCAGATTTTTTGTATTAGGATTCCGTACCCAAAGGTCAAAAACTCCGCTACAGAAATACATAAACGATCTGCTGTGCGTACTTTTGTTACGGCATGTAAAAAAGGCTGTTTCAAAAACCAGGCTTTTCAGTACTTTCGGTTTTCCCGTTTTATTTGTGATAAAAATTAAAGGAAAAATTCGGTTTACTTAAATAAAATCAGTCTCTCATGGTCATCTTATGAATCGAGATAGTTAGTTGAAATTTTCACAGATGATGTGTTTTAATTTCCGCTGTAACAACAAATACTTAGAAACAGATTAAATAAATATTTAAGGTAACTCACATACAACAAATGAGATTTCTAGCATTTTAAGTGCGTGAGTCCGACGCGCACTTGCCCCAATTTTTATTTTCTCTTTTCCTATTTTATATTTTCGACACAACACTCACCAATATACTCGTATTATTGGTTTGTAATCAAACAATTATTATTTCTGTCGTTACTTCATAATAACGATAAGGGAAATTATTAATATGCAGCTTTAAATAAATAATCTACTCATTACCTACTACATGAAGGAAGATTTTATTATAATTATAATGCGACATCTATATACATTAAATTATATATAACATATAATATTTGAATAATTAGAAGTATTATAATTTATACTAATAATAATTATTTGTTTTTGTATTATTTTTTTTGTAACAATAATGTTTCATCTAAAGCAACTTTTCTGTAAGTCATGTAAAATATTTAATTAACTATTAAAAAAAAATAAAATAGTTTTAATATAGATTAATAAATCTTTACTTGTCTGAATTGTGATTGAAAAAGCATTGAAAACAATTAAAATATTATTTAAACAAGCTTTTATTTGGCCCTTTTATTTAATATTCATATGGGTTGGGTTTTTCAAAAATATTTACGCAGCCATTTTGTTACAGGAACAATTTTAGATTAATAATAATACCGATTATTTAATACTGAATACCAATATTTAACAATGCAATTAGCATTTCAGCTCAAACGGAGACTGAGATGTGGGTAAAATTATCATGCAAGATTTGGTCACAAAAAGATAAACATTGGGACAGATGAAACTAAATAAATGCTTGTAATAAGATCTCTAGTCGGAGTTCAGACTTCTTTCGTTCATTCGTTAAAGTATTTATCTAAAACAAAAAAAAAATAACATTCCTTAATAATATAACGCACTCCCGGTGCGACACTCTCACTTATGCAAAAATTTAGTTTTTCAGGAGAAGAGTTTTAAACTCTGTAACCTCACAAAACAATGACTTTAAAAGATTCATCTACAAAAGTAACATTATCGCACCAAGTAAAGGGGGCTTTAGGACAATTATTACATATTTAACTAATTTTTGTATCTTTTGCAAAAGTGACAGTGTCGCACCGGGGGTGCGATATATAATTATTAATTGCGACAACTTTAACGTCGAATTAATCATTATCATTAAAAAATATATAATTGAATTGACAAAAAAAAATATTTAAGATAAATAATTTAAGTCTCCATTAAATTATTTTACTTATATATATTGAATATTATTTTTATCTATTTATTTGCAATACGAGTGTAGACAATGAACGAAAATAAATACATATTATTTTTTCTAGTAGTACTAAATAAAATAAAAATACTATCAACGATAATCACACTTTTATGCTTATTTTATTTATAGTATTGCTTAAATTAAAAAACAAATATTTTAAGTTCGTTGTCACGTGAACGCAAATAGCGTGTGCCATCACCCCCTCTTACTTTTAACAGAATTTAGAGAATTAAAGTTTATACATACACAGAACTATATTACCTATAGATTTAGAGGAGCGTCAGGAGCGTGACGTCGTATCGACGCCATGAGAGAAGTTGGCGATTTTTCGGAAAACCTTGAAAATTAAATTTATAAATAATTTTTAACTGAAATTATAAAAACATTGTTTACACCCCTATTAAATGTGATAACTGTGTGAGCAATACGACTGGTACTGCTCAGACAGCTATTACATTTAATTGCAAATGTCAGGGCATCTGTTTTTCTAAACAATACTGTGCAATCACATTATGTTATCAACCAACGTATGATAAATTAATTTGAGCGCTATTAATTAAAGTTTGTATATTTAGCTCCGATATAATTGACTTTGTAACCTTTAATAATAATAAGCTGTTGTCCTGCGACTTCACCCGTATAGATTAAAGCCTACGTCATAAATAATTAAGTCTGTCCTATTTCAAATTATTAGTAAAATATTTTCAAATGATAAATGCTTAAAAAATCCACTTTGTCCCTGACACTTTGAGATAGGACACGAACCCAAGACTTTTCGCAATCCGGGCGACTACTGTAACCACTGAACTACCCAGGACCTAGCTGGACTGACGAATTTTTCAAGCACTTGTTACTGTTTCAAATTTCATCAATTTTCAGGCAATACAGAAACAGCCGTAAGAAATATTTTTTCAAAATTTTTAAACTTTCTTTTAAGATGAAAATTTGTTCTAATTTATATTTGACCAATTTTGCATTCACGATGCTATACTGAGAAATATTATTATTGAAATATGCTTAAATAATCCACTTAGTGCTTGACACTCCGAGATGGGACTTCCATATTTAATTATTTTATTATCGGGATATTTTTCAGTGTAGTATTGTGAATAATATTTTTTAGTAAACTTGAATTAAAATATCGACTAAGCCCATTAATAAAAATTGAATTAAGTAACTAAAAGATGATTTATATTACAGTAAACTGTTTTATTTTTAAATTTTGACTTTTTGATGACAAATTTTTAATTTAAAATACGTTTGAAATATACTTTGGGAATATGTGTTTGAATTTTTCTACCCAGGACATAATTATAATAGCTAGAATTTGATAAACTATCATTTATATAAAAAATATTAATAAAGCACTTAAAAAGTGAGAATTGAACTTATATTAAAAGCAAATTAATTTTTCTAGAAACTTATATTCAACTCGGGCGGAGGTTTTATGCAGGTTCTTATTTTAATAGCGGTTTTATGAATAAAGTTCTAAAAAAGTTTGAAGTCCATCCTATTTTTTAAAGAAAAATATAGCCCTTAATTTATTTTATGAAACGGGTATTAACACGATAGATTGATAGTTAGGTTTTTTACCTACCTATATTTCCCGACATTTCGACTGGGTTACACTGGCCGTGATAACAAGCTGACTGTTGCTACGTTGCTCCGTCTCCTCCTCTGAAGTGAAATCCACTTCCACCGTCCAGTTTTTTCCCCAGGTACCGTCACATATAACACTAATAGAATCCCTATTCCGTATCGCAGCCCGGTCGAAACGTTGGGAAATATAGATAGGTGAAAACCTAACTATCAATTTATCGCGTTAATACCCGTTTCATACAATCTTATATAATTTATGTGGGCGAAGTTTCGGGAATTATTTAGTTATTGGTTTACAATTCACGAATAAATCGGTGAACATACCTAATTATATGAAAATATAAATACCCTTTGAACATTGAAGTTGTTCCTATCCAATTTTGAATGAATGCAAAATACACAATCTGTAATTTTTTTTTAAATAAAACTGCCGATTCGATTTCGGTAAAATTTATATGGGACCACCTCGGGCCAATGAGTTGTCCAATAAATAAAATAATTTTGAAAATCATACATATTCCTTTTCGATTTTGAAGTTGATTAAAAAGAGTACAATGTGCCATTAATAGTACATAAATGTCCATGTTACTATATCCTTCAAACGATTATTAAGTTATTTAAGTTTTTCATTGTTACAGATTCATGCCAAACGGAATATATCTAAACGCAAGAGAAATGGGTACCCAAAAGTTAGCTGCAAAAATGAATCAGCTGATCAGTGATCCAGAAAAATATGCCGATTATTTCAAATGGAAGAGGCACTACACGTACCATAGTCTACACGAGAGTCCCGAGACGGATGAATATTGTCGGTTCTGTGCTATTCTTAATGACGAGCAAATGGTGAAAAGGACTAGTGTTATTAAAAATTTTAGAGATTGGTGGGACAGCCCTAAGTTTTGCTGAGCATAAAGAGTTTTTATATAATTTAGTACTAATTTTTATGGCTTGGCCTGCATAGTAAACAGTTTATGGCAATAAAAAGAAGACTTTGTATAAAATCTACACAAAATATAATTAAAACTGTACTGCACCACGGATACAGTTGTAACTTAACCATCGCCTCATAAAGCCCACTAATAATTGCTGGACAGCTAAAAAGCAAAATGTAATCAATAAGGACAAAATAATGTAATTTAAACCTATTTCAGTTAAACGTACAGCACTCTTATGATTGAATTTTCACGGTGTTTTTGTTTGATGTACCTACCTACTGTAGGTATATAATTGACACAAATTGTCTAAGCTGTAAAAATTAAAAGAATTATTAATTTGTGTAGTTAGACAGTACGTAACGAGCCACTGAAGAAAGACTTGGAAAATCTGTGATCATAGTTCTAACCTTAGGCTAGGCTATAACTAAAATAATAATAAAATAAAGTATGATCATTAATTAAAATTGTGTTTTATAGAATAAAGTTTAAAAATAAATGATTTACTTATAAATTATTTCGTGGCAAAAATTTTCTAAGGCTTTATTCCTCTGTGTCTCGTTACACTCCGATGATCTGCCTATGATATGTGTCAAATGAGAAGAAATATTTGAAAGGAAATTCTAGTCTCGTAATTTTTATGGTAATATTATTAAGACTGTATTGTTAATAACCAAAACAAATAGCAGTTTCAAAGGATTCCAACCACGTAAAATATAATTTTCGTGACAGATTCAATTCTTTTTAGTTAATTTACTATCAAACTTCACCAAAATTAAACTATGAATTCAAGCCAACAAATTTTGGTATGATATTATATATATTTAGAAAAATATCAGATTAACTACACACTGTTTGAATATTAAAGTTATTTTAGAATTTTTCACATTATAATGTGTAAAAAAAGAATAGAAAGAGACTAACAGGATTTGATCAGACTGAACGAGGCTTGTGTTTTGTTCACCATATATTTATAAAGTATATGTGTAAAATGCGTATTAAGTATAAAAGTTACTGTCATAGGTATGATGTGACCGAAGCAAATAAGCAAATACTTTGAGCAAACACAAGCCTAACGTTTTTATTTTCATGTGGATAACGGAAACTTTTTCACAGCATCCATGCGTCTTGTTATAAGAAAAACAAGGTAATAGGAAAACCAAAAAATGCTAGTTTCTATTGGGTTGGCACAAAAGTAATGAGACACACTAGAAAAATCTATAACATTTCCTTTTTAAAATCAATTTTTTCGATAATATTCTAGAATGTTGTAGAACATTCTAGGTACTTCTGGTGTAGGGTATATAAAGCCGCGCTCGCGATTTGTTTAGTCAGTTTGAAGAAAAATGGACGAGCGACAAGTTCGAACACTATACTTATACGAGTACTTGTTAGGCCACAGTGCGCGGGCTGCGGCTGACAATATCAACAATGCATTAGGCGCTGGAAGTACAAGCCATGCGAGGGTGTCCCGATGGTTTGACCGTTTTAAATCAGGAGACAGGAGCCTTGAAAGTCAGCCACGCTCAGGGCGACCACCCGCAGTGAATGATGACGATTTGCGCCACGAACTGCAGTTGAATCCGGATGCTACCACTCGTGAATTAGCGGAAGCACTTAAATGCAGTCACCACGCCGTGGAACACCATCTGCATGAGCTTGGTTATCGAAAAGTTTTGGCTCGGTGGGTACCGCACATCCTTACAGACGCCAGTCGTGCAGTCCGTGTCGCTATCTGTCAGTCACTTTTGCTGCGACCCCGACGTAAAGAGTTTTTGTCAGATCTGGTTACTGGAGATGAATCATGGATTTATTACGAGAACGATACAAGTCGTGCTTTTTGGCTGCCTCGAGAAGAAACGCCACCAACTCAACCGAAGCCGAGTCAAAAGAACCGCCGAAAAATTCAGCTTTGCTGTTTCTGGGATGCGCAAGGCATACTGTTTTATGAGCTATTACACAATGAAACTATAAACGCTGACAAATATTCAACCCAGCTTACCAAATTATCTGCCGCTATCAAGAAAAAACGACGAAGACGAGTCAATGTAGTTTTACTGCACGATAACGCTCGACCTCACGTCGCATCTGTGGTTCGCCGGCAGTTGGAGAACTTGGGCTGGGAGACGATACCCCACCCACCTTATTCCCTAGACCTCGCCCCATCAGACTATCATTTGTTTAGAGCCCTGAAACAGCATTTGCGGGGTAAACAATTTAATGATTTCTCTGACGTAGAGGCGGAGTTGAACAACTTTTTCGAGGCACAGCCATCAGAGTTCTGGGCAAAAGGCATCCAAACTTTGCCGGATCGTTGGCTCTTGCCAACGATACGAGTCTTAGATACTAATGGTAATTACATCATTGACTAAACTTTTTTTATTGTAATAATAATAAAAAAGTAAAAACTTAAACCAAGTGTCTCATTACTTTTGTGCCAACCCGATACATTCTTCAAACTGGTTAGCATTTAACTTCTTTACGCCTTAATTTGGGGTCTGTGTTGCCCAGAAAAAAAAAAGAATTAAAGAAATCGTGCTAAAGGCATAATAGTATTTACTTATAGTTAGGAATAGCAAAGAAAATATTTCAATTTTATAATAAATGAGAAAATATAAATAATTGTGAATTGACATAATAAAATAATATTAAGATTTATTCCATGTATGATATAACGCGTATATATATTTATATATACGCGTTATATATATGTATTTAGTTAATTTACTATCAAATACTAATAAATAAAAATACACACACTCACATATATATATATGTATTTATTTGAAAACTGCATAACATTAATCAGCTGATCGCCTAGGTTAATCGGACCCTTATTTAACAGTGACATTACTCTGCTACTTAAAATTAATTAGGTTCAAGAACCATACCATAGAAATAAGCTGGTATTATTTTAGAGTATTCGTAACTTGATGGCGTATACTCGATGGTCAAATATCCGATAGAATAAGATAGTTTTGTTTCAGCAGCAGAAGTTATGCTGATAGTAGTGACAACGATAGTTTTATTAACATTCCTTCACTGGCTGATTCTCTTAACTACTGTTTCTCTGATATTCCTAGAAACTTCAATGTGGTTCTTATAAATGCTCAATGCATTCCGGTCCATTTCTCGGATATGCTGAAAACCTTTGACTGTAAGAACATCCATGCCATCCTTATCTCTGAGTCATGGCTATGGCGGTCAAACCATGTCTCCCTTCCCTTTCATGATTTTAACCTTACAAGGAATGATCGTTGCGTAGGTGGTAGTGGTGGTGCCGCCATATATCTCCATAAATACATTCCTTTCTCTGTGATTGATATGTCGTGTCAACCATCTCCAGCTAATGCTGGCGAGTATCTTTTCCTTGAGATTGGACTGCATGACATGCAAAAATTCTTCTAAGGGTGTACTATAGCCCATCATCTCATATTAACTTCTTTTCTTCATTTGAAAATAAGCTTGAGCTTATGTGTCCTTCTTACAGTTATACTATAATAATGGGTCATTTCAGTACATGTCTTATCAAGAATGACATATGTTCTGCAAATTTTGCGAACTGTCCTGCAATCAAGTAATTTACACATACCAACACTCAATGCTACCCATCATTTTCCAAATTGTTCTCCTTCTTTCTTAGATCTCCTCATTGTCTCTTCTCTTCATCGTGTTTCTAAACATGAACAATTCCCAGCTGATGCTTTCTCTTATCATGATTTTCCTATCATATAAAATTCGTCCACCGAAAGCAATGCCCGCACTTTTAGTGGTGTCAATCTTGATAAGCTCCGCGACGATGCAGCTAATACGGATTGGTCGCAACTTTTTGATTGTGACTCTGTAGCTGGCAAACTTCAATCTCTTGTATTGAATCTCACTACGCTTTATGACGTACATGCGCCAATTTATCCAGTCGATATCTCTGCTGGAGTGCCACAGGGTGGCGTTTTATCTCCATTACTTTTCGCTATTTTTATCAATTCTATTTCCAGTCAACTAATTTTGTTTTACCACTTTTATGCAGATGATTTGCAAATTTACTCCCAAGCACGACTAATCGAACTTCATTAACTAATTACTAATGTGAATGATGATCTGAACCGAATTTCTAATTGGAGTAAATCATATGGTTTGATAATAAATCCATCCAAGACTCATATCATTATTGTTGGCATCTCTACGATAATTAATAAAATGGATCGGTCTCAACTTCCATTGATCATATTTGACTGTATCATATTAGCGCCTAGAAATTTGGGTGTACCAATTGACAAAAATATCACTTAGGGTAACCAAATCCAGGAAGTGAGCCCTAAGATGTTTGCTGGGTCCATAAGTAGACTGCGTAATTTCCTCCCTCTCTGCACTAAAACCACGCTGGCACAAGCTCTCCTTCTCCTCATTTTCAATTACGCAGTCGTTTGCTATCTTGACCTTACTGAGGAGCAACTTAACAAACTTGAGCGGTTACAAAACTTCTGTATCTGATTAATATTTGGTTTAAGCAAATATGATCATGTATCTGATTTCCGTGTAAAACTCAAGTGGCTCCCGATTCATCTTTTTCAGTATTTTGTTTAATCCACTATCCTTATCTTATCTTAAGGAACGTTTTAATTGCTTTCACAGTACCCACACTCGAGTTTTGAGATCATCAGAGAACTTAAAATTGGAGACACCACAATGCATTTCACTAGATTTCTTGACAAATCGTTAATAGTTCAAGCTGCCCTTCTCCGGAATACATTGCCCGAAAATATAAGACGTGCGTAAACGGAAGATAGTTTTAAAAATCTATTCAAGGAGCACTATCTATTATTATGAACTTATACTTTAAATTGTCCAAACTGGAAGAAATTGCTTCTCACCGATGTTGATTGTACTATTTGTTCTTTTTGTTATTATTCAATAAATACAAATAGTTTTTGTTATTTGCATAAGTATGTAAGTCTTCTTTATTATTATTATTGTTTTTTTATCTAAATTTAGATGTCATTGAATTTTTGTGTAGTGTTTGAGTGTTTGCATGTTTTTTTTATGAATTTTATTTTACTTTGTTTTTGTACCATTCGAATACAATTATAAAAAATTGTTAATGAATTATAATAATAATAATATTATTGGTGTTTATGTACAATAAATAATTATTCATTTATTCTTCTTTTTTATGGCCAATCGCACGCACTCCACGTGTTAATCTCATCGACCAGCGAGGCTGTTGGTTAACTTTGACATCAAAGTTTACAACTGACATTTCGTTGGACAATGCTGTTTGATTGCTACCAATTTCTCACTAACATTGGTATTGCATATCATAGTGGTTGGACATCAACTAACGGTGCTTTACGGTGCCTTATAACAGTCATCGACAAACCTCTGGACTCTCAGATTTTATTGATCCTATGAAATATTATTTATAAAATGTTATCCTTAATATTACGTGATTCATAATATATTTAAGACAAATCTACCAAACAAAAGACTGATATATGTTGTCGTTGTTAGTTTCGTAATGGCGGACCTTTACATTAGAATAGGATTTACCTCTTATACAATCCTGCTTTCGGTCAACCATAAACATAAAAGAGAATCGGTTATTATTGCCTACCTACATTTTGTGGTTCATATCATAATACAACGAATTATTAAATTCTGGGTATCTGTGTGGTCACGTTATATTATAAAACCGAATTCTAAAAAGAAGAAGGCGGTTCT